GTTTCCTGTCCGCTTAAAGACAATCTCAGATGAAACATTCGCTTAACACAGTGTACCACAAACACTATATGATACTTTCAAAATTTTGTTACGCATCTAGGATTTGTGTATAGTCTAGATCGATCGAGTTTTGTTATGCGTCATTAGTGCCTCTAGTCCAAATGTAATCGAGCTTCTGAGCCATAGAATATTACTATTAGTGTATAACTAGAAGAGCTGCATATTTCTGAATGGCTACAATAAATATTGGCTTTTTTGTGAATAATCTCTAAAACAATTTGCGACGAGCACAATATCCTGATTAGTTGCGTTTCTCAGAGTAAAAATAATGATCATGGATTTAAACGGCGAATGCACAGTGTAAAGAAAGAAAATCAATTTTTCACTCTCACTAACTAGCCAGCAGCTCTGTTACACCGACCCTTGTTTCTAGACGCCTAGGGAACTATTTAGGCAGGCTGCGACTCCATTAGTATTTAAGCGCCTGCAGAGCATAGGATGCAAGACCGCATCTCAAACGTGGATCGAACAGAAGTATGTCCAAACAAAGAATGTTGCTAGAAAAAGTTAAAAAATGGAACTCCGATGTTCTGGAGGAGCTTTCTATGCCGCCACTGAACATGTCACAGTAAAAATACCACCATCTCCCAGAACATCGGTTCCATTTTGTCACTCTTTCGCCTACGGATCACGGCAATGTTCTTTCGTTCAGCACATGTTGGAGACGCGGTCCTGCATCCTATGCACTGCAGAGGCCAAAGTACCATACAGCGTGGGTTGCTTAAGTAGCCCCTTTAGGCGTCTAGAAGCAAGGAGGGGTTGCAACAGAGCTGCTAGTGTAAAGTGAAGAATGGACATCTTTTTTCTTTCTGCACACTGTGCATTCACCGTTTCAATCCGGTATCATTATTTTTACTCTGAGAAATGCAATTAATCAGGATATTGTGCTCGTCGCAAAATCTTTAAGCGATTATTCACATAAAAGCCGACATATTCAGCGGCGGTATCAAAGCCCCCCCTAGAACATTGGGGTCATACTTGTCACATATTTGCATTTTTCTTGTAAGGTTTCTAAATTTCAGTTCCTATCGCTTAATTATTCTCGAGTTCTTACAGTGTCATGTTAGATCGCTATTAACTTCTTTTGAAAAACGACTGACCGTTTCATCAGAGGCACACTGCTATCGTGGGTAGTCCGCTGAGATAATGATCCAAGGTGGAGTTTTTGCTTAAAAAGTTCCTCACATGCCACATTTACAAAATAGTAGCTGATTTTACTTTGCACATTTTCCCACATTTTACCTGGGTTGGTGAGGGTATTATTAATTCACAGCATTTTGTAAACACCTTGGTTGTTATAAGTGACATTCAAGTTATTCATGATTTATTGGCATATAATGAATAAGATACTTAAAGCACGCATCTAAACACCAATATCATATGCATGTCATGTCGTTAATCAGCTGTGCTAATAGATTGTTGGCTTTTTGCTTTTACTCAGTAACTACATACGTACAGGAACATACATTCCGTTATAAATTTTACTGACGTTGAAAGTATCCTCACGACGAGTCCAGAGAGACAAGAAACTTAAATGCTATGCACACTTAGGTTATTGTTTTGCCATTCAGTAAACACCATAAATTATTGGATAACTATAAGTTAGTCGTTTGAGCACCTAACGGATTTTCGTCTTACGTCTCATAGGGAATACTTCAATGTGACCAAATTTATAATGTTTCTTGGTATTATGTCATTTAATGAAGATATATGGCTGTCGCGTTTCCAATGAAGATCATATGGTTGCGGTCGACATGCAGAGCCAGGAAGACAGTACTAATTATTTGGTTGCTGTCTGCCATCCTGGCGACACCGCTAATTTTTGGGCAGGTAACCAGACTGCCAATTCAATTCAGAGTCATTCATAAAAAGGCATTCCGCATTTCCAGAAACTCGAAGAGGCGGTAACGCTCAAGAATCATACTGTGGCGTGGTGTTGGCGCCGATTTGAAGAAGAAAAATATCAGAAGATATTCGTTTTGTACCAATTTCTGCTCCTGTACCTCATCCCACTAGCCACTATGGCCGTATGCTATGCGCTATTGGTTCGTGTGCTTTATTTTTCAAACAGAGATCCGTTCTTGGGCATCACGCCTGCTCCAGATTCAGCCAATCATTCGATGAATACAACGCTTCTTAATTCAAAGCGAAATATACAAAAGGCGCAAAATATAAAACAGGTAAATGATTTTGATTCCTAATTTTTAAATTTATAATTTTTGAAACTCAATTTTAAATAGGATAATTGGTAAAATCTTAATCGAAACCATTTATCTCAGTGGTTTAAATGATTTAAAGCAAGTTTCTCTGGTATGAGGCTCAAATAAAATGGCCAACGGCAGGTCAGCAGCTTTAAGTGTGATGGAAATACATTGAATACCCGTGGGGTGTGATGGCAATGCTTGAAATTAGGCGGAATCTCGAGAGTCTGTATTTAAATATTTCGTAAATAACAAATAGCGACTCAAAATTATTTATGTTGATCTGTTCCAGGAACGGAAATAAAAAAACTATATTGTACTTATCTCATATGTAGTTCGTCCTTGTGCCTTCGTTTTTTATCTTTATCTCTTTGCATCGAAGACAACCCTCGGTGTCGCGGAAACATTCTAATAGGATTAAATAAATGCTTGCTTACTCCACTTCAGTCCTCTCGAGGTTATTTCAATTTTAACGGGATCTTCCCATCAAGGAAGTTTGGCGGTCACCTAACATCAGACCTTCCATTCAGTACGCACTTGTACAGTCGGCTACGCAGCGCCTTGTTTGCAACCAGTTGACCATTTTGGTTCTGCATTATAATCTTTCTCTTAGAACAGCAGTTGACGTCAGATAGTGCAACTTCAAGCTAAATATTGATCTTCAAATCTTAAATGCGCATTTCGTAGCTTTTGTTAATTGTTGCAGTCATCAAGCCGTAGAGCAAGTTGTGCAATTCCTGCAAATACGTAGCTTTGTGCTATTGAAAACTTCTTTGTCCGTTCGCAATTTAAGTAACTTGTTGCTTGCTGCCAACGCGCAGCACCTCTTAACTTCGTTTGTCGCTCGTCCATCTGAAGCTAACGTATTCACGAGATTGAGAGGTTCTGGCAGCTTCTCCACAACTTCGGTGGCAGCGATCAAAAGCCAGACAGTCTCTAGTCTGGGTTCTACCAATTTTTATGCACTTCATTTTCTCTAAGCAAATCGAGGGAAAGGTCAAGCACACTTGTTTCAGAGTTAGGAGTAGTGATGTCGCCACCTCGAAGTTTTGGACCAGCAGGACTTCAGCCGTCAATGCAGACGTTTAGCGCACATATTGTCCATTCCTCGAACTTTGCATGAAATAACTTGCTGAACCTGCCATTAGTTGGCACTGTTCTAGACAAAAGATCGTGAATCCTTTCAATCATGCAAATAATCTTTGATCGGAGGGATTCCAGATTGTTTCCGGACTTTCCATAACGCATCTCTTCAGATTGAACCAAACGGTTTGTAGAAATTAACGAAAATTGCCAAAATTTTGATCCCCATTCTCCTTTCCTTTACATTTGCTGTCTCGCTGTGTACGTCTGGTCAAAACATCCTCGGTGTGTGCAGAATCCTGACTGCTCTTCATCGATAATTTCAATATGCTGTCTAAACGTGAAGCGGGTGGAAGACTAGTTCCATAATAGCTATGTGGAACCATGCAACAGCCTTACTTAAATATTTGAATGACAGTACCTTTCGCCCAGTCATTCGGGATATTCTCTTACTGTCATATCAATCCAAAGAGGTTCACTGACTGCCACATTTCATCTCTTTCTGATTTCTTAATTAGCTTTAGGTTATTAGAAGAGTTTCAAGAGCTCTACCAATTTTCATTTGTCTTAAGACCTCATTCACTTCTTCAGGGATCGGTGGTTCATTATCGGCAACTATCCTTTGTGCAGGCATAATACCATACAATGAATTTTTAAGAAATCATGATATAGTTAAATAGCAATTCAAAAGGTTTTCGATGAAGTAGATGACAGACGCGAGTTCTCTGTTGTTCATTAAATCAGTCTGTTTCAACGACCGCTTGACGTTTCGGTCGTGGAGGGAGACATACTAGACTGTGTCTCAACGTTCCCCAATTCTGCACCAGCTTACGAGCACCGGCGAAGATAACTTGAATCTTGAGCAGAGCCATCGAGCTCCATGTTGATCTTGGCCGTGAGCCGCGTCTTCCATCGGCAGGTTTGTCAGGTAGTAGCTGTTTCATGTTCTTTGTCAAGAGTATTCAACACGTGTCCGAACCATCGCAGCTGGGGCTGCTCATTCTGGAGAAGCAGAGGCTGCATACGATGACTCATTTCCTCTCAGACATCTCTACTCCAGATAATACTCAAGGCGCGAGGACCTAGCCATTCGTCTCAAAAGCCGATTTCAGCCGTCT